CCCCCTCCTCCTCCCGCCCACCATGCTTCCCTTCGACCTGTGCACACGGCTGAGCAACGCCTCGATGGCGCGCCACCGTTGGGTCCCCATCGCGCCGACACGGCAACACCTCTCGATCCTCTCCCTCCTGCTCGCTCACGGCTTCATCTCGTCCGTCTCGTACGGCTCGACCAACACCTCGCCCGTCTCCCCGCCCGACCCTTCGTCGTACGTCTCCGCACGACCGAGCGAGAGGCGCGTCTGGGCCGAACTCAAGTACAGGAACGACCGGCCTGTCCTGCGCAAGATGAGTCTCGTCTCGATGCCGAGTCGGAAAGTCGTCCTCGACAAGGACGAGATCAGGCGTTTCGTCAAGGGCTCGCGTGTGAAGTTTGTTCGCGGATTGACGCTTGGAGAGTTGGCGGTCGTTGCGAACGAGCAGGGCATCTTTGAGGGACGGGACGCGATCAGGCAGGGACTCGGAGGAGAGGTTATCGCGCGGGTGGGCTGAGCAGCAAGGGTACACCTGGGGTTTTTGTTCGGCTGTAGCTCTCCTTCGCAACGCTCGCATGCATACTCTATTGTGTGGCATCCCGCTTGCGACTTTGCGGGTTGCCCTTGCTTGTCGAGGCGTCGAGGGTAAGGCAAGGTTGACTTCCTACGTATACGCCTGTCTTCTTCCGCTCGCGCTCGCTCTCGTTCAAAGATGAGGAGAACCATATCGCATTGCTTGTCGAGCAACTGCTCCATCACCGGTTGAAGATCAGCTCGACCTCGTCGATGGCAGGTCCCTCGTGCGGCACAGTCGGCACCGGACCCTCCTCATCGCCTTCCTGCAACGCGCTGTTGTCGGACGGTCCACAAGTGCCATCGTCGTCGCGGTCGAAGATGACGGGTCGGAGAGCGGGCGAGATGGGGCCGGTGCTCGAGCGACGGCGCGAAGGGCGAGGCGAGTTGGGGACGCGTGAAGCGACACGCTCCTCCTCGAGCGCGGAGATCGTTTCAGGTCTGCGGGAGGAACAAGCAAGTCAGTACGACAGAGGCCGCCGTGGCAGAAGAGCGCAAACTCACGAGATGTGCTCCCACTCGTGCCGCATCGCCTGCTCGTTCAGCACCTCACCGCCATCGTCCGCCAGCGTGCCCGTCGCTCCGGGCTCGTCGAGTCCGAAACGCATGAAGCCCCAACCGCCGACACTCTCCGAATCGGAGACATCGTCCCATTCGCCGTCGTAACCTTCGAGACCGAGACGCTCCCACGCTGCATCGGAGGCTCCAAGCGGATCGTTGAGCCAATCCAGCAATTCGTCGTGATCGACCTGAATCGCTGGTCCGGAGTTCGGCTGCGAGTTTGGCGCGATGGGCGTGCTCGTGCCGGGCAAACCGACACTCCCGCTGGGCGTATAAGCGGATGCTCCATTGGCGTCTTCGGCTGCGCGAGAGCCGTGAGAGGGGTCGCCACCTGCAGCAAGGAGGTCGTCCACCTCGTAACCGGACAAGTCGTCGTTCGGGTCGATCGCGCCATACGCCAGCTGAAGCGGTACCGTCGCATCGACGTCGATAGACGACAGGGCTCGTGGAGGAGGGAAGACGTCGTCGAGGGCAGACGGATCGGGAGGCGGGCCATGAGGCGAGAGAGGCGGGAGAGGAACAGAGGCAACCGGTCCCGGGTTGAAGTCGGGTGACGGGTCGTTGGCGTTCTCGGGGATGGACGACGAGCGACGGTGCAGGCCGGGAGCGTGCTTGCTGTAGTGCTTCGTGTTGAAGAACCGAACCAGCGAGCGGAGCGCTTGCTCGTGAGGCTGTGGAGTCGCGGTCAAATCAGCCTCGCCGCTTCGATCGAACAAACTCCAGACGCACCAGCGACTCTTCGACGTCCGTGTCGACGTCGATGCCGGCGAGCCACTCGTCTCGCAAGTCAGGTCGACAGTGCAGATAGATCGCGGTGATGACCTTCATGCTCGCTGCGGAAGCAGCGTATCAGCGAGGAGCGGAGCGAATCTGAGTACGAGCGCGAACGCACATTGCCGCCACTTTCGCCCACAGTAAGGCACCTGGCTCTTGATGACCTTGAGGACGTATAGCTGAAGCGTCGAATGGGCGACCTTGAGAATGCGCTTGAGGATAGCCTGCGCATAGGGAGATGAGCAAGGAAGCGGCAAGGAACGGTGGAGCGAGACGTACCGAGCTCTTGTACTGAACCATCAGCAGCACGCGGTGCGTCTTGCGCTTCGTCAACTTCTGCAAGATGTGAACGAAGTTGATCGTCGAGAAGAAATTGCGCCACGAGTAGTCGGAGATGATTTCGACGTCTTCACCTTCGGCGCCGTGAGCACTGACGGCGGGGCCATTCACATTCGAGTCGGTGGAAGATGAGGACGACGGCGAGCGAGGACGATTGCCGGGCGGTGGAAGGGACAGCATGGCGTCTTCTGGTCGCGGCGAGGCGGAAGAAGGGTTGATGTGGTCATTGCAGAACTTGAAGAAGCTGCGCAATCGGGTTGATCAGCTCATGTGGGCTTCAGCAGCGTGAGCGCGACCAGACGCACTTGCAGTCGGGCTTCTCGTGCTTGATGCGCACGAGCGTCGAGACCTCCTGCATGCCGAACATCTTGAGGATGAGGAGGAGGCAGTTCGAGTCGACGAGGAGCTGCGAGAAGTAGTGGAATTTCATGACGTCTGCGAGCAAGGAATGGGAGTTCAGCGACTAGGCTTGAGAAACTCAGGTAATTCGAACAGGACACACGAGACGCCTTGAACCACTTGAGCGTGAGGATAAGAATCGCCGAAACCGCCTTGGACGTGATCTCGCGATGCCGCAGGATGTCGATGTCTTCAAGACTGAGATCGGGTGACGGGTCTGCACGAGAAGCTCGCGTTAGCCGTCGGTGAGCGCATAGACGATAGGTATGACGTACCGCTCGAGGTAGGCTCGGGTGCATTCTGGTTCGGATTCGACAAGTTCTGGTTCGCCGTGACAGTCGCGAGGAGCAGCTTGAGGAGGACGATGACGGCGCTTTGGAGATGCGGCAGCGTCTGGCGCTACATGCGAGTGCTCGAGCGTCAGTTTGCGTCGACCCAGGAGGCAATGCGCAGACAACGCACGTAGAGGATCTCGACCCGCTCGAGCCGCTTGACATCCAGGCGGCGCTCCTCAAGCTCCTTCCGCTTCTTCTCGTCCGGCTCAATCTCGATCTCCTTCTTGATGCTCCGCGCCAGATTTCGCAAAACCGTCAGCGGGTCCATCGGGTCGTCGTCCTCGTCTTCGTCATCACTCGCGACCGCAACGTCGTCCGTGACCGGCGAGTCGATGCCGCCAGACCCATCGGAGAGCGTGCTGTGCGCCTTCGTCCGCGACTTCGACTCGGCCGACCCCGTCGCCAGCTCTTCCAGCCTTCGCCCGAGCGCCATCGCTTTGCGCCTCATCTCCCTGCCCTCCTTCGTCTCCTTGTTCTCCTGCTCCTTCGCCGCCTTCCTCCGTCTCTCCTCCTCCTTCACCACGGCCTCGCGCTCTACCTGCTCAGCGCGCGTCAAGCCCATCTCCTCACCCCTGAACTCCTCCCTCACCTTCCAGGCCTGCCACAACTCGGTACTGACCCGCAAGTTCCGGCGATACAGCTCGCCCGCCTCTTCCACCGCACGAGGAACGGCTCGACCGCGCTTGGCGTTGGCGGGAGCGAAAGGAAGGGGGAAAGGTCGAGTCTGGTCCGTCTGGAACTGCTGCTTCTTCGGTTTGCCTGGGACGGGACCGTTCGCGAGTTGGCCGTTCTGTTGGCCGTTCTGCTGCTGACCTTGTTGCTGCTGTTGCGGGGACTGCTGCTGCAGGCCGCCGAACGGACCGTTGAGCTGCGGAGGCGGACTAGGCGCCGGCGTTGGCGGCTGAACGGGCCAAGCAGCAGGTGGGGGAGGCGGGAGGTTTGACGGCAAGCTCGGGTCGTGATTGGCGTTGATGTGGTAGGAGAAAGTCGGGCGGACGGGAACGGGTGCAGCGGCGGCCGAGAGGCGGTCGAGGGTTGTCGGGTTGTTCGAGAGAGCTTGGAGAGGAGGAGGGAGAGGGAGGAGCGAGCCGGCTGGTGGAGGAGTGTAAGAGGGGTACTTGGCGAGCGTCTCGTTGCGGAAAGCGAGGAGGTCTGGCGGAGTAGCCTTCGTCCACGGTCCTGTTCGCCAAGTCGGTTGAATCAGTCGCCGCCTCTGGTCTACCAAAGCGGAACTCGACGCACGGTAGTCAGGCCTATCACCCGGCTCGTCCTTTGGCAAGCCCTCAACCTCGCGAACGAGCGTCTTCACCCGCGCGACATCCTTCAATCCGCCAAGCGTGCAGAGCATCGACTTCCACAGCAATAGGAGGAGCTGCACCGAGAGGCTCGTCAACCACTAGTCTCGAGAAATCGAGAAGAGACGTAGGACTCGCCTTCTTGACGGGGTAGCCCTTCGCGTTCTTCTCGCGAAGACCGGCGACCTGGTTGTAGAGGTAGACCGGCATCGGTGGATCGAGAGCCACTGTGTTCCGGACCAAAGGCAACCACGTCAACATGCCGCTCGCATGCGGAGAAGCACTAGAGGAAGATGCCAGACTGCGCCAACTCACTCAGCTCCTCACCCCACTTGTCGTCGCCCCTTGCGCACTCGACCATAAAGTAGAGCACCGCAAGCAAGATCGCCAATTCGGCATTGATCTCGTCCAGCCTGTCCTGCCTCTCTTTCTCCCGCCGTTCGTCCGACTCGCGCTCTTCCTGCGTTCGCGCGGGCGGACTGAGGCGGATCTTTGGCGGTCGAGGACGCGGTACCGGACGGAGTTGGACGCGATGAAGGGCGTGTGCATCGGATTCCTCGCCTTCGCCAGGTCCGCCATGTCCTTCAGCTTCTTCCTCGTCGCTCGTTCCGTCGTCGGCGCGTCCGCCGGTGGCGGCAGGTCCGCCTACACCGCCGCCGAGAACAAGGCTCGAGATGTCTTCCCATTCTCGTCCAGTTCGCTTGAGCGCCTCCCAGACTCTGCCCAGCGCGCCGGCCTCCCGCAAGACCCGGCAATTCGTCAGGACGAGGTGGAGGTGGTGTTCGGGCGACGTCGAGGTCGTGGGAGAGAAGGTGCCGTGCGCGATGTGGAGGAGATGGCGAGCGGCGGTATGGCGAGTCGTGTGCGAAGAGGAGGAGGAGAGCAGAGTGGTGAGGAGGGTCGAGATGTACGCTTGTTGAGCCGCAGGAGGAGACTTGGTGAACTCTGCAGGCGTGCAAGCGTCAGTCCAGCTTTCTGGAGAACGCATATGCGTCTGAAGGGCATCCTCAGAATCGGATAGCCGCAACGTAATGTCTGTCTCGAAAAACTGGCCAGCTCACCCTGCTCTCCCTTCCACCCTTCGTCGCTCGTCTTCCAGCTCTCCATGTGCTCCAGCACCTGCGGGATCTCGACGTAGCTGTAGAACTCTTCGAGCTCGCTGAGGAGGTCGGCGGTGTCGGGCGGTGGAGAGGGGAAAGTGTAGACGAGCTGTTTCGGGCGTGGTAGCGACGTTGGCGAGGCTGTACCAGGTCAAGCTCGTCAGCCACGAACAGCAAGCTAGCCAGCCTGAGGGCGCAAGCGACTCACCGACTCCACCGGGACCTCCGCCAGCAGGACCCGCTCCGGCCCCTCCTCCTGCGCCGTTACCGAGCTGAGGCCGTTCGAGTCCAGCCGAGACCATCGAAGCGTACGACTGCTGGCCGTGTCCAGCTGCGCCGTTCCCTTGTCCTCCAAACATGCTGTCGCCAACTGATGAAGTCGAGCCTGGGTCTGAGAGTTCCCGGACGATTCCTGGGCGGCGTCTGCGCGGCAGGGGAGTGTTGAAGCGCTCGCGTTCCTGCTCGACGGCCTGCTGGCGGTCGAGTTCGCGGAGAGAGGTTAGGCTGGCTGTTGGCGGGGAGGAAGGGGATCCGAGGGGACGAAGAGACGAAGCAGACGGAGAAGGTGGAGTCGGCTGATGGATCATACACTCGCCAAGCACTCGTCAAGCCTGTCAAGCCGCAATAAAGTCGACGCAGAGGTCGTGGCGAGAGAGAGACCAGCGAGGACGACGAGGACGAGGAGGTGCTTGCGCCGTTCTTTGGGCTGTTCGGCTTCCTGGGCGTCATCGTAGCCGTAATAAAATGCGTTTCACGCAGCCAATTCCTCAAAGGTGCTCGCTGTCGACTGGTAGACCCTCCTTCTCCTCCTCGATCCTGGTTTCGCCTCGACTGTTCGCTTGCTCCTCGCTTGACGAGGCCAGCTAGCCTCGCTATGCTTCAATTGACGTTCAGACTGCTATCTTTGCTGGTCGTCGTCTCTCCCGTCGTCCTCTCCGTCTCCCAGGATGGCACCCCCACCTTCGTCCGTGAGGAGGGACGCTGCGCGATGAGGGACTCGTGCGGGCGCAAGAGCGTCTTCTCCGGCGAGATACCGTGTCCAGACAACGGGCAAGCAGCCGCGGTACGTTCTCATTGGCCTTTACTCGACAACGCGTGCTGACCTTCTCGCGAACAGCATGACGACGACCTCGCTTACAAGGCGCTTCTGGCGGGCATCTGCGGAGACGACTTTCCGACGACGACGTGTTGTACGACGGGACAGCTCGAGACGCTGCAGGCGAACTTGGCCCAGGCAGATCCGCTCATTTCCGCGTGTGCGTTCTTTTCGACCGTTCGTGCGGACTCCAGGGCGTGCAAGGTTCTGCTCATCCAGTCGGGCGAGGACTGACCACCTTGATCACCCAGGCCCCGCCTGCCGCCTGAATTTCGGCCGATTTTTCTGCTCCTTCACCTGCTCCCCCGACCAATCCCTCTTCCTCACCGTCACCTCCACCCAGACGCTTAAGAAGGACGGCAAGGACCGAGAAGCTGTCAAGAGCGTCGAGTTTGCCGTCGCAGGAGAGTTTGGAGAGGGATTTTTTGATGCTTGCAAGGATGTCAAGTTTGGCGCGACGAACGGGTTCGCGATGGACTTGATTGGAGGTGCGCCTTCGAACTCGCTCTCGGTGCACAGTTCGAGCTGACATCGGCTTCGCAGGCGGTGCGAAGGACTGGCTGTCGTTCCTCCGCTACATGGGCCAGGAGCGCGCACTCGGCTCGCCCTTCCAGATCGACATCCCGTCTCCCGACTCCCCTCCTGCGCACAACTCCACCCTTTCGCCGCCAACACCTTTCAATGCACCTTCCGAATCCTGCTCCTCAACTTCGCTCGCCTCTCGCTGCGCCTGCCCCGACTGTCCAGCCGTCTGCGCCTCGCTTCCTCCGCTTCTCTCGCCCCACGAGAAATGGGAGCGAAGATGCCGCGTCGGCAAGATGGACTGCTTCCCCTTCGCCTTGCTCATTGTCTACGCGGTCGCGGTGCTTGCGGTCGTCTTCGGCGGAGCCGCGAGGGAGGTCCGACGCAGGATGGGCTCGAAGGGTGGAGCGATCAGGCTTGGAGACGAGGAGAGCGATGAAGGAACTGGCGAGACGGAGTCGCTCTTGACTCGCCTGGTCCGTCGCCTCGACCCCTCACACCTCTTTGCGCCCGCCTCGATCGGCCGGCCGAGACGCTCAACCTTGAACGGCTCCGACACAGACTATTCGGCATCGCCCTTGCCCCTCGACTCTGCGCCGAGGAACGATGACCTCCTCTCTGAAGCCGAGTACGACCCTTCGCCAGCTCCTCTCGCGTCGAGCTCCCCTCCCCTCTCGCGTTCGACGCCTCGTACAGGCGACTCGTCTGCCGGCTCGAGTAGCACTCGCGCACGAGGCGGAACAGTCGGGAGCGGGTCATCTCGCTCCTTGCGCCGTCCCGACGAGTCCTCCCGCTCGCAATCGCAGCGACTCTCTTCGCGCGGCGCCTCGCTCCTCGACCCGGCAGCCGATTCATCGGCCCTCCTCCAGCCCCGCTCGTACCCGCTCAACACCTTCCTGTCTCGCGCCTTCTACCGCCTCGGGTTCTTCTGCTCGATACACCCTTTCCTCGTCCTCGCGATTGGCCTGGCGATTTGCGGCTTAGCGAACGCAGGATGGGCAAGATTCGAGATCGAGAAGGACCCGGTCGAGTTGTGGGTCCCGAAGGGGAGCGAGGTCAGGCGGGAGAAGGAGACGTTCGAGAAGGCGTTCGGGCCGTTTTACCGGACGGAACAGATCTTCTTCTCGGTTGCGCCGCCCGTCAGGCTGAGGCTGGTCGACGGAAGGGAGGAAGAGGAGGAGCAGGATTGGACACCGATCGACCAGCCAGTTCTTTCGTGGCCGGTCCTCCAATACATCCTGGACGTCGAGCATCAGATTCGCACGCTCGCCTCTTCATCATCGGGCCTCACCCTGAAGGACGTGTGCTTTGCGCCGACAACAGCGGCGGAAGACGGCAAGACCGCCTTATCCGTCGACGAGTGCGTCGTCCAGTCGCCGCTGGGGTACTTTCAAAATTCGCTCGAGGGCATTACGGAAGACTCGTGGGCTTCTCAGCTCGATTCTTGCACCTCGAGTCCGGCTTCCTGCCTTCCTCCCTTCGGCCAGCCGCTCAACCCGAAGCTCGTCCTCGGCGGCGTGCCCGAAGGAGCAGCCACCCACGACGCGAGGGCGGTGATCATCACCTATGTCGTGCGCAACTCGCTCGACCCGGTCGAAGTCGCTCGTGCGGAGGAATGGGAGACCGCGCTGCGAGACTACCTTCGCCAGCTTGCGGACCCGCAAGGCGAAGCTCGTCGCGACTATGGACTCAAGGTTTCGTGGAGCGTCGGCACGAGCCTCGAGGAAGAGCTGAACGCCGCAACGAACACGGACGTCCCGATCGTCGTGGCTTCCTACCTCTTGATGTTCGCCTACGTTTCGCTCGGCGGCAGCGCAACCGGTCTCGTCAAAGTCTTAGGCCGAATCGCCGTTCTCATCAGCGCGGCTCTCATGCGCCTCGCCAGATGGATGGCGAAGAGGGCGAAGGCGCTGAGCAGGCGTGGAGGCGTCAAGCTGGGCGAGGACGATGCAGAGGAGGATGCAGGCAGGCCGGGAAGGTTCAGGACGGCGAGCGCAGCGATGTCGGATGGCTTCCGCACGACGACTCGTCCAACGAAGGACAGCCTCGTCGCCTACTTCAAGAAGCAAGTCCTCGTGGATTCGAAGTTCCTGCTCGGTGCGTCACGTCTGCTCTCGTTCGCAGGCTTGCACAGCTGACCCTACCGCTCCCGCAGGTCTCTGGGGCATCCTCATCGTCCTGCTGAGCGTGTCGACTTCGGTCGCCTTATGCTCCGCCGGCGGTGTCAAGACAACGCTCATCATCGCCGAGGTCATCCCCTTCCTCATCCTCGCAATTGGGTGCGTTCGCCTGAGAGCGTTCTCCCGCGCGACTCTGACGCTTCTCGGCTCTCCATAGCGTCGACAACGTCTTCCTCCTCAGCCACGAGCTGGACCAGCAGAACGTCCGGTCCTACCGCGAGAACTCCCTTCTCATGCCGGGCGAAGAGTACGAAGATGAAGTCGTCGCCGAGCCGTCCCTGCCTGTGGAAGAGCGAGTAGCACGCGCTTTGGGTCGGATGGGACCGAGCATCCTCCTCAGCGCTAGCTGCCAGACGCTCGCCTTCAGCCTGGGGGCGCTCGTCGGCAGTGCGTAGTCAGGTTCAGTCGCAAGTTCGATGCTGGTGGACTGAACTTATCCCGCACGCAGTGCCGGCCGTCCGAAACTTCGCCATCTATGCTGCGGTGGCAGTCCTCCTCAATGCACTCCTCCAAATCACCGTCTTTGTCGCCGCCATGACTATCGACCTGCGACGCGTCGAGTCGAACAGGATTGACTGGTACATTGACCGCTCATCTCGCCTTGTCGCTTGACTGACCCGCCTGGCTTTGGCAGCTTCCCTTGCATCAAGGTCTCGAGCATCTCCGCGACAGAACACAGCGCTCACCCCACCGAGAGCCTCCTCGCCCGCTTCGTCCGCACCGTCTACACGCCGACTCTGCTTCGCCGACCCGTCAAGTACCTCGTCCTGCTGCTCTTCTCGGGCTTATTCGTCCTCTCGTGGATTGGAGCGCGACACATCGACCTCGGCCTCGGTGGGTAGCGTTAACCTCAATTCGCCTCAAGCTACTGACCACTATCTTGCTGTACAGACCAACGCCTCGCTCTCCCGGGGTCTTCGTACCTCGTCGACTATTTCAATGTGGTTGACGAATACCTCGACGTTGGACCGCCGGTCTACTTCGTCGTTGAGAACCTCAACGTCAGCGCTCTGCCGAATGTCCGCCACCTTTGCGGACGGTTCTCGACCTGCGACCAGTTCTCGCTCGCCAACTCTCTCGAGGCGGAGAGGAAGCGTCCCGAGGTGTCTTACCTGGCCGAGCCTCCGTGAGTACGCGCGCTTGCCTCCCTTGACAAGGTTGGACTTAGCGCCTTCCGCTCGCAGTGCCGTATGGGTCGACGACTTCGTCCAGTGGCTGAACCCGCTGCTCGAAGACTGTTGCCGGGTGAAGCGACGCAACCCGAACGAGTTCTGCGGGCCAAACGACTCGGAGTCGCTCTGCAAGCCATGCTTCGAGGACCGCGAGCCGCCTTGGACCACGACGCGTACGCTTCGCCTCTTTCGCCTCGCGCAGTGCGCATGCTCACGTCCGCCTTTGATGCAGTCGAAGGTCTGCCCGAAGACGGCGAGTTCATGCGCTACGTCGAGCATTGGCTCGAGTCGCCGACCGACGAAGCCTGTCCCTTGGGCGGCAAAGCGGGCTATTCTTCCGCGCTCGCCATCTCCGAAGACGGCGAGAACGTCGATCTCTCCCACTTTCGCACCTATCACACGTCTCTCAAGACGCAGGACGACTTCATCAACGCCCTCGCCGCCGCTCGTCGCATCGCCGCCGACCTCGCCAAGCGGACCGGCGCGCGAGTCTTCCCCTATAGCCTTTTCTACGTCTTCTTTTCGTCTTACGACACCATCCGTTCGACTTCGCGGATGGTCCTCTTCATCGCTCTCGCCGCCGTCTTCGTCGTCACCGCCGCGCTCCTCGGCTCGCTTCGCACGGCGACGGTCCTCATCTGCACGGTCTTCCTCTCTCTTTTCACCGTCCTCGGCGCGATGGGCGTATGGGGAGTGTCCCTGAACCCACTGTCGCTCGTCAACCTGGTCATAGCCATCGGCATTGCGGTCGAGTTCTGTGCGCACATCGCCCGTGCGTTCGTCGGAGCGCTAGGCGGCGGTCTACCGCGAAGCCACCCGCAGGCGCAGGGCGACCGGGACGAACGGGCTCGGACCGCGCTCGAGGATGTCGGCGCATCCGTGATCAGCGGGATTGGCGCGACGAAGTTGATCGGCATCTCGGTCCTCTGGCTGACGCGATCCGCCTTACTCAAGGTGCGTGCAGCGGCGAGCATCCCCTATCACTTCTGTAGCTAACGACCTGCGCCGCAGACCTACTACGCGCGAATCTGGCTCGCCCTCATCGTCTCGAGCGCGATTCACGGCCTCGTCTTTTTGCCCGTTGCGCTTAGCCTGTGGGGCTCGCAAGGTGCGTCGAACTGCGTCGGAACATGCTTGAGAGCTCCAAGCTCACGTTGTCGTCTGACAGGCTACGCCCTCACCGCCGAAGAAGGAGACGGCGCCTGGATCGCTACGTCCGTCGAAAGCCGCTATCAAGACCGTCCTTTCGGTGCGTTGCGCTCGCATCCGTATGAGCTGGAGGGCAGTCAAGCTGACAGCTTTGCGTCGCAGTCGACGACGATGCGAGCAGCGGCGAGAGCGAGTATTAGAGCGAGATTAGGCCTTCGCCGACCTCCTGTGCATGTTGTACGAGAACCGCAAGCAATGGCATTTCACATGCAGCCCCTCACTTCGCGTTGGCGTTGGGGAACAAGAGCTCTGGCGCATACGACTTGCGCGCCACCTTGATGTTCCTCTTCGCAGCCGCTTCTTGGGCCTGCTTCGCCTTCTTCTCCGCCGCCTCTTTCGCCGCTGCCGCCTCCTTGATGTTGCGGGCCTTGGTGGCGGCATCGCGCTCCCTTTTGGCGATCGCGTCGAGTCGCTTGAGCTCCGAGGCAGGGACAATGATGCGTCCGCCGGGCTGCTGAACCTCCCACCCTGGGAAGAACTTCGACGTAATCTTCTTGTTGCCGATCTTCGACTTTTCGAAGGCCGTGCAGGAGAGCTGAAGACGTGCGAACTGCGTCAGCTTCAAGGATCTGCTGCGCAGGGCGTACAAGTGCGGCTCACCCAGGTCCAGAGGAGCTGCGTGTCGATGCCGACCTTGTCCTCGCGGGAGAGCGATCGCTCCTTCGTCTGCTTCTTGGCGAGCGCGTCGACTGCACAAGATCCGGACGTCAACACCGAGAGTGGAGGATGGAGGAAGGAATGGTTCGAAGCGCACCTTCGCGAGCATGCGGCACACTTGCGCCAGCAAGGAACGAGATCGAGAGGTTCATGTGGTCGATCCAGCTGCTGACTTGGTACGGGCACCTGCAGGACGGCCACCGTCAGCTCCAAGCGAGCACGCAGAGAGCAAGGAGACGAACCCAGCGGGAATGAGGATGAAGTCGCCCTCGTACTGGTACAGCGGATAAGGCTTGATGCCGTACTTCGTCCACAAAGCGGCCCGCATCCTCTTCGTGAGGTACAGCTGAGGGTTGATGAGCGGGTCGTCGCGAGTCTGCTTGAGCTTCTCGATAGGAATGCTCGGGTTCTGGTCGTGGATGAGGTCCCAGCAGTAGTCGCGCAGCTGTTTCCGACATAGCGGGGTAAGCGAGGTCATCGAAACGCCTTAGAGCAAGCATGCTAACCTTGGGAACATCCTCGGGTCGCCATACGTCGTACCGAATGCGGAGCATCTTGCCCGACTCGGGGTCGCAGCCGCCCCAGAACATGAAGTGCCCCTCATCGACGTTCGACACTGTGGACGACGAGCATGAGCTTGTGACTGAGTTCGAAGCCTGAATGCGCTCACGATGCAAGCGGGTCGTCGCCGTAGCAGCGTTCGTGTCCCACGACGCCGTCAGCTTGATGTTGATATCCGGCTGAGAGGCGTTGGTCGGTGCGTGAGCGAGGCAGTTGAGGACGCCGTCGGGATGCATGACGTTCGAGACCGGAAGTACGGCGAGGAACTGTCCGTGGAGAAGCAGGCGTTAGTGTCCATTCGCTCGAATCCTTCGACTACTACACACAGCGTCACGAAGCTCCTTGAAGTCCGTCTGCCACTGACGCTCGTTCGGAAAGTCCTGTTAGAGAAGCCGGTCAGCTCGAGTCGCAAAGTTGAACGAGAACGAGGCGGACCTTGGTGCGGAAGGTCGGCTTGTAGTCCGACTTGTCGTCCGCCCGCGTGTAGCCGTCTGTTCGGTACTGGCCAAAGAACGAGCCGACGGTCGATTCGGAGACCTTGGTCCAGTCGGTGTTGTCGATGAGCTCGACCTTGAGATCGCCAAAGTTCTCCTTGAAGTACTGCGGCGTCCACTTGGCGAGGTCGCCGAACTGGCACCGACGGAGGAGGATGGGGAAGCGGTTGCGCCAGAGCTCGTAGAACATCGAGTCCTCGAGCTGCTTGAGCCAAATGATGTAGCAGTTGTGCGTGTTGGCGTCGTAGTCCTTCAAGTTGGACGGGAAGGAGAACTTGTTCTTGAGGTACTTGCCGACATCGGTGCCGGGCGGCTTGATGTGGTTCTTCGACGCCCACAGCTGCACCTCCTTGTACAGCGGTTGGAGCTCGGCGGCGTCGTAGCGGACGAACGAGCGGAAGCACGAGACGTCGTGGTCCTCGGCGGCCGTCGCGTCCTTGCCGCGCTTCTTGGCGACGCACTTCTTGCGCCGCTGAATGTCGACCTGCGACGTGACGTAGCTCGGGTCGGTCTCGATGCGCTGGAGGGCGTCCATGCAGTCGAGGCAGACCATGCGACCGCAGATGTGGCAGATGTACGATCCGCTGAGGCAGATTGACTGGCAGGTATTGCAGACGTCGGGCACGCCGAGGTCGAGACGTCGTCGCATCGGCGCAGGGTTGGTAAGCTTGGCGAGGTCGACTTCGCGCTTGAGCGTCTTGGCGAGATCCGGCGCGATCCAGGTTTTGAGGAGCGAGACAAAGTTCTTGTCCATCGGCGCCGTGTACGCCGGCTTGTACACGGGCTCGTCGTGCGGCTCGTTGCTCGAAGCGAAGTCTGATGCGACGATGCGGCCGCGCGCATCGAGTCCGAACCAACGACGTCCCTGGAACGAGCAGCCATGACCAGGACCGCGGGCGATGCACTGCCAGCAGCGGATCTGGCCCTCGAGGCGCTTCGCCAGACACGTCGACGACTGCAACTCGAGAGTGACCGCAGAGCCAAAGCTGCCATCGCTCGGAGCAGGCGTGGTTGACCCGCTCACGGTGGCAGAGGACTCGCGCGCCTTCTTCTTGGCGGGCTGAGCCCCGTCGTCCTCGATAGCGCGAGTACGCTTCGCCGTCGGAACATCTCGTACGCGCGGCGGTGCGTCCTGCGGCATCGGGGCGAAGAACTGGGCGTCTTCGTCGCTGTCATACGTTGGGCCGTCATACGTTGCGCCGCCTTCTCCCGATCCCGATCGCGACTTCGCCGGCGAACGAGGCTGGGCGCGACCGGCGGACGGAACCGGCCTCTTCGGAAGCGGCTGAGTCGTCTCTGGCAGATCGTCGAATTCTACGTCGCGCGGGAGGTAGTGAGGCGGGAGTTCGAGAAGATCGACAAAGGCGGGATGTGGTTTCATGTAGGCGGGCAGCGCGTTCTGCAAGTCGTCGGGGAGGAGAGCTATAAGGGGAGCAACGAGTCAGGACGGTCAACAATGACCTCGCATCTTCGGGCGGCGACTCACAGAGAGCCAGCTGCTTGTTGAAGCGAGACTGGATGACCTTGACGGCCTTCGGGGCGACCTCGACGACCTGCACCGAGCCGTCGCTCGCATCGCCATTCTCGCCGACGTCCTGGTCGGCCTCGGCACCGCCAGCACCAGCCTGATCGGAAGCAGGCGACCCAGATGCGGGCTGGACGGTGCGGAGGGCAGATTTGGGCGGTCGACCGCGCCGCGGTCCAGGACCATCGGCAACAACCTTGGCCGTCTTCGCTTTGCCCTTGCCCTTCCCCTTGCTCGAAGGCGGAGGAGTCGCCGTCGCCGCCCTCGCGCCGTTGATCTCGGCGAGCTTCGTGCGAACGCGAGCTTGACGAGCATCTTCGCGCTTCTTGCTTGCCTCCATCTCGGCAGCCGTAGCGAAGTAGCCCGCCTCGGTGTCGGGGACGAGGTACGCTTCGGGGTCGTCGCCACGCTTGCTGCGGACCCATGACTCCTCCAGCTTCTCGGGCGGAAAGTTGAGGAAGTGGAAAGGGTTTGTCGATGTTGAGGCGACGGGAACGAGGGCGGTGTTGGCGAAGGTGTAGGCGGACATAGGGTGGGCGAGCTCGATGGCTGCAGCAGGCTTCTGGGCCGGCGCAGTACTCGAGGTAGCTACCGCGGCGGCGTTCGCGGAGTCAGAAGCAGCGTCTGAGGCGGCAGGCGAAGCTTGGCGTAGTTTGGGCGATGCGAAGGGCGTTTCGGATTCGGAGCTGCCGCCTGCAGAGGCGAGAGCGTCGGCCGTTCCCGCAACCTCCTCCTTTGCCGCGGCGACCGGTTCCCCAGAATCTTCTTTCATCGGAGTGATCTCAGCGAGCGTCGGCTCGTCCGGGTTGAGCGGTCCCTCGCCGCCCTTCTCCTCGGCAAGTCCCTCCGTCGAGCGCAAGTCATCGCCGCGTTCGACGCCCTCCATCTCCGCCGCCGTAAAGTCCTGCAACTCTTCCTTCGCCGTGGCTTCCCTAAGTTCCCCGCCGCCCGCGACACCGTCAATTGACATCGCCTCGTCCTGCGCCGAATCAGCCTGGGGCGGGGCGAACGAAGGGGCGGCGGCTGCCTCGGGAAGCGTGGCCGGCTGCGCGGGAGCTTGCGCAAGGGCGTCTGAGGCTGGCGAGTGGCCTTGCAAGGTGAACTTGACCGTTGCGGCGGGAGATGGTGCCGAGTCGACGGGTCCGAGCGAAGTCGAGTCGGGTGCGGTGGCAGCGGCTGTCGCGCGCAACGCGGTCAGTCCCTGCGGGTTAGAGTGCATACAGGGACTCGAATGCTGCAACTCACGCTGCTCGGGATGCTGTGTAGCGGGCGCTGCGGAGAGAGGCGACCCCGACTCCATCGCTGCGAGCGGCGGAAGACGACGGGCGTTGACGGGACTGCGTGCGCCTCTCTGTAGCCTGCAATGCGAGCACTCTGACGCTGGCGAGAGCGTAGCAGGCGAGAACGAGTGTGCGTTGCGAGAGCAAGCAGGCGACGGTCAGTCTCCTCGCCAATGCGTGGGCCATCAAGTTGCGTATCCCGCTTCTAGACACGCAATGCTGCTATACACAGTCTCAAATGCAGCTACAATGTACAGGAAGCGCCGAAGCAAAGAACGAAGTCAGCCTGGACGACCGTCAACCTCGAAGTCGACTCCGGCGCGAGCGAGCCACTCCGTTTCCGCGAAACGATGGACGCATTGACGGCTGCATCGTGCGAGGAATGAGCAGGCGAGAACTGCGACAGGCGAGGGGGAAGCGCAGCGCACCTCGGATCTCCTCCTCGTAAGTCTCGCCTCCCGGACCGACAAACTCGTATGTCTCGCTCATCTCGCCCCAGCCCGTCGATCGTCTCCCTTTCCGTCCAGTGATTTCGGCCTCTCCTCGCTGGTTGGATCTCGTGAGACTCGCTCGTCCCGCAACCCCTCCCAGGGCCTCGGGAAGCATTCTCGCGCGATCGTAACCGTAGTTGTCGACCCGCGCGGCGAAGCGGTGGTCCGACTCAAAGAGAGTGTAGTTGGTGTTCAAGTCGAGAGGAAAGGAGTAGACGTCGCGGTAGGTGTAGCGGTGCAGGGAGAGGTCCTCCGAGGTTTGCGCGACTTGGATGTCTTGCACGATGTGCTGGCGGAGCATGTGAGGATCAGCCTAAAGTCTGACGCAAAGACGGAGTGGAGCGCACCTGGAACGTCCCGTTGTCGGCGTAGTACTGCTCATTTGCGAAACTCGCGACTGTCGACGCCCTCACCAACCTGCTCCCCGACCCCGTCACGACCCTCGAAACGACCTTGACCTCCCTCGCAGCCTTGACGACAGTCTTGAGAGTCGAGTTGTCGCTCGAGGGAAAGATGCCGGAGAAGATGAGCGGTGAAGGCGGGATTTGATGCTGAAGGAGACGGCCGGTTGTGCGGACGGGCGGGTCGGTTTTGTCGAGGTCGACGTGTAAGGCGCCGGTGATGAACCTGCGAGAGAACGTCAGCAGATGCTTGAGCGAACAGTAAAGGGGACTCGCCAGTTGTCAGTGACGCTGCCATCCTTGCCTTGTCCAAGAACCGAGAACTCGAAGCGATGTTTCTGCCCGTCGCACAGCCTGCGCAGCTATCGTCAGCTCCAGCGCCAGCGCACCAAGAGCGAGAGCATGAACGCACAGAGGCAGGTACGGCGTCATGTCGACGAAAAAAGACGGGACGTCGAATGCTCGAAGCGAGGCCAGCGGGCGCCAGAGTAGCGGGTTCGCACCGCCGGTGTAGATGACCGGAAAAGGGTATACGATGCCAGCTGAAGGCGCTACACGTGAGCAAAGGGCGAGAGGAAGGGAGTGAAGCGACGCACCGAGCAAATCGTCTATCCGGAGTTGAACTTCGCGATACGGACCCTTGCCGATCAAGCCGGCGTCTGGTAGGTACTTACTTCCCTGAGCGATCAGGTTGGTGTAGTAGAACTCCTGTATCGCTGGAAGTCGTCAGCGTGGAACTGCGCCAGGAGGGCGAACTTCGCAGACGCACTTCTTCCGCTGCGCCTGTCGCAATCACCTCCAGCCACGCTTCTGCCGCGTTGACGGGTATCTCGACTTCTACGTTCGCATCTCCAGGGTAGACCAGCATTTGCGAGCCAGTTTTGCTGCGAGTCGTGAGGGGAAGGATGAGGTCTGCCGAGCGAGGTCGAGGAGAGTCGGTTGTTGGTGCGTAGAACGTGACGGAGAGCGTGGTTGAGAATATGCCGGTGTAGTGCTCGTTGACGATATTGTTGAGCTCGAACATGAGCCGGCCAGCTGCGATAGAAACGATGTCAGTCTTGCGAAACCCTCGGAAGGGTCAGATAACGCACGTTTGGCGAACAGCGGTGCGAAGCGAGTGACGTCCTTCTCATGCGTCCAGATGATGCCGTTCTTGGTCGGTTCCGCCGTGCTCGTACGCCAGACTGGCGAGGGGAAAGGTGAGCAACTCCCGAGCAAGAGAAACTAAGGCTCACTCACTCTCGCCATGCTCGAGGCTCAAGGATGCAAGTCGGTCAAACTGAGTGCCATTCGAGGTGACTGTAAGGTTCAGGACGATGCTGGCTGCGTCTGCCGACAGGAAGCCGCATTCTTTCGAGCTCGGCGGGATGTAGTCGACGATGGCAGGTTGATCTGCAGCTCACAGAAGTTCAGTGCCCTTCACAGGGAGTAGCTGGGCAAGCAAGACCCACAGTACGAGTTGGCAAAGTCGTGTTTGAGGAGCGCCGTGACACCAGGATTGACACA